TTTTTTAGCACAGTTCATGTGAAGCAGGCTTTAAAACATTGGGCATAAGTCTGACAGTAATAATAACCATGGATTTGAGGCAGAGGAGAATTAGTAGCAGCTCCAGGTATCAGTGGGTGCGAAGGTCTCTGTCATTAAGGACCGCACTAAGTAAACATGTTGGAATATGATTGCTTTATTGCTTTTCGCTCATTTTATGTCGTTTTATTGCCCTACTAATGACTATAGAATTAGGTGTGTAAGGGAGGTCTGAAAATGTAGAACTAAAAGTGGTACATAGAAAAGTGTGTGCTTCCTGTAGAGATTCCAACTTCTCATCACAAATGATAGAGAACCTAATTTACCTTACGTACATGAGTGAGGGTAAGGAGAGAGGCACAGAGGGACCTCAAGAACAGATCCATTTTTAGGCTTCATCCTCACGTTGGTACCCCGGATGGTTTCTATGTGCCTTTATAGTGATCCCAGTGGGAGAGGTTGTGTCAGTACAGGTAGTTCTTTTTTCCTCCACTATTAGCCAAATGGTATATTCCTGATGCAGGGCCTATGCATGAAAATATGCAGATAAGAATTAATTTTGTATATGTTTAACTATTGAATAAAATAGCTTAATTTATGATAATGCCAGAATCAGTCTGGCATGGTAGTATAGCAGTATCACCTCTGAGGACAGAAAGTACTGATGGGCTAATAATTTTACTGCTTCCTATTTTGCATGCACTGCAGTTTACAAGATCAATAAAGAATGTAGTACCTCAGCAGACTTACAATTTAGACTGTAAGAATCTCTGTTCTTGACTAAAGTCCTGTTGTGTCTAAAAAAGGGGAGTTACTTTCATCCCTGGTGTTTAGAAGTGATTTTTTGTGTTGTCAGTTTCTTCCAAGGGAAAATAGGATGTATTACCCATAAAGTTTCAAGTAATGTAAAAGGCATAGTGAAGAATGCTGCTGAAGCAGGTTGATATTTTTGAAATACGAAAACCTAAAAAGGACATGCTTTTATTTAGATCTCAATAGCAKGAAGGTATATTTGGGGCGCAGAAAGCAAATTTTCTTTCAGAACTTTATGAGTGACCAGTGAAGTTTTTGTTTGGATTTAAGAGTTACTCAGAAATGCATAGACTACACATACATAGGAGTGGGTAGAATTAATAAACAACATTGAAATAAATATATATAAACCAATACATAGGTAGTGCCTGCCTAGCTAAAGCTTAACATTTAAAAGTRCAGTTCACCCCACCCAAGAAAAGTCAGCAAGGCTGCAAGAGTTGTAAAAGTAGTTCTCAAGGTTACTACAAAATGTCCTTTTGTTTCTTTCATGCCTTCATCCTTTTTGAAATGCTCTCCACATAGTCAAATTAAAATTGTTTTTCTTTCAGGCTTTTCTRCTACAAATCCTGTTTTACTATGTAGTTTACCAAGTTTACCTAAACATTAGTCATCCAAAGAGCAGGGGATCTTTTATTCATATGCTTCTCTGTCAACAGAACCACAGTCTTAAAAACCWTTTTGTCTTCTATTCCCTATATGTAATCCTTCCAGGTAGTATTTCAAGACATTGTATAAATTCTATGCTTTTTATTCTACAAGTAGAAGAAAATCTGGCATCAGTGTTGTCTGATGACTTAAGCATTTTCTTTAATCTTCAGAAATGCCTTTATACCTTGAATGAAAGCACTGTATTCTCAACTTTTATAATCCAAATAAGAATTTTATTTAGGAGCTTAGTTGGTTTGCATTGCAGGTAGCTAAGCATTTATTTTATTCCTATTGGTTGCAGGTATTACCTAGAGATGAGGATGGAAACACAGCCTAGGAAATCAGCCTTTCCTCATCTGTGTATGAAGAACTGAAGTGTCTGTGTTTTGTTGTTTTCTTTTTTGAATGTAAGTAAATTTTTGCTGCATGCTTCACTAACCTACTTCCTTGCTAGAGACTATATCATTGCCTGCCCTGTTTCAACATGCCACACAGAAATTGATGGCCGTTTAGACATGAATCAGTTGTAAAGATCATGTGCTTCTAAAAGATCATGTGTCTCTGAAATTGGAGAAGCTGGTAGTAGGTTGGTGGAAGGTATGCATACCCCCAAAATTTTTGCTAAATTTGCTAAATTATATATTTGTTTTGTCCACCGAAGGCTGTGTATGCTCCTCATCAGGCAGTTGTTCCTTCATCATGTTTATTACTTTCTCCAGTTCAGATTTTCCAAAATCCTTCTGGGAAAAGTTGAACAGAAGACCTGTGAGCTACTAGGTACTTCTTTCTTTTTTAAAATTGGTATACTTTAGTCAGCTAATAAATAAGTTTACAACTCCAACATGTATTGACCATGAAGATGTTATACTTGAAAGCTGATGATTTTCTCTACTGATTTCATTAAACTTCGAATGATTAGATATTCTTCAGTTCTGGGCCTTGAATATACATCACTTGAAAAATATTTTTTTCCCTTCCCACTTGTTAAGTTCTACCTTGAGTGTTTTCCTCTGCCCCCAGTGAGCTCCATGATTCTTGTTTCTTTCTATTCAGCAGCAGCTTGTGTTTTGWATTCAGTCCCATTTGGTTCATCACGATGATTTTTTGCACATTTTTCATGTTTAATAACACTACTTTTGCTCAATTTGTGCAAACATCCTTTGGACTTGTTACAATTTGATTTTCTGTCAAGGATAGTTGCAAAGAAGAGAAAATGATGAGCAGAGGAAATGATGCTGGTGTATATCTTATTTGCAATTCTAATAACAGCTTTGTGAATTTGAACACATTAGTAAAGAGCACTTCATTCAAGTGCGTATTACTACAGAACTTGCTAAACATGCTTAAGAATAATGCTATTCCAATCTGGGCAAATTAGAGGGATCATTTGCAGCAGTTGTTAATTATGCATCAGCTTCAATCACAGCATAATTCTGTTAATTGCTTATCACAACAAGGTTAACTGTCATTTATATTTCTTCAATTTTTAATTCARATAATACACTTGATATTGTTCACTGGTCACTTTATAAGAAAATAGTCATGATGCAAATATTCAGCACAATAAGACTAGAAGAGATCTCCCAACGTGGCTGACATCACCAACCCATATAATATCTTTCATAAATTTCTCTCCATGTCTTAAAACCAGTTAGGTTCCTTGATTCTGCTGACCAAATGGAGGAGGTTTGTTGCAGTGCCATAACCGTGACATGTTTAGCTTTCTACTTGCCAGCTTCAAATTTATGCCTTTGTTCTTACAGAAGAATTGTTTTATTGTCTAAATAATTTTTCCCCATGTAGCTTACAGCACATGATTTATTTGTAGAATAAACTCGCTCTCACTTTTCACTTCCCTGAGATAGGCAAACCAACTCCTTTTTGTGTCCTTCAGTAAGATCTACATTCTCATGGCTTGAACTTGGCTGGCAAGCCATTAGTGCTCCTTAATTCCATCTATAATGGCAGCTTTTAACTCCGGTTCTCCTGTAGATGGAAGCAGAAATGCCATTCACTGTCAGATGAATGACAACAGGAAGTGTAGATGAGTTCTGCTGGCTCTAGGAAATGAGTCCAGAAGTACTAGTGGAAGTGATTGGCTCGCTTCTTATTCTGGCTAAATTAACAGATATGGCAGTGTTTTAATTAAAGTTGTTTGAAACAGCTAAGTCAATCTTTTCAATCCGAATTCATTATGGTAATTTTATTTATGTGTACACCTGAAAAACAGGGAATGCTATTAATGCTAATAATTAAGCCTGTAATTCTTAAGGAATAAAAATTTCATTGAGAATTGTAACACCAGGAAACAGATAGAGAAAAATAATATACTGAGGAGAGAATTAGAGGACTAGATGTGAAAAAACTCTGCTGTGAAGAGCCAAAAAGTCTTGGTAGACAACAAGCAGAGAATGAGACAGCAGTGTATCCCAGGAGCAGAGGGCCAACAACATCCTGGGCTATATTAGAAGGGCTGAGGGAAATTATTATTTCCTTTTACTCAACACTCRTTAGATGGTATCTAAAATGGTGCATCCTTGTCCATTTGCCCCCTTCTCTCTTTGAAGAAATAAATGGATTAAGTGAAGAAAGTTCAGTAGAGAGCCACCAAGATGGTAAGGGGCTGACACACTTGCCCAGTTGAGGAGAAGATAATGGACAGAGTTGTTTCAGCCTGGAGAAACTTTGTGGGAAAGAAGCTCACAGCAGCCTCTGATCACTCAAGGCTGCTTGTGAAAAGATGGACTGTCACAGAGATGCAGGTAAGAGACTAGGGACATAAGTTGAAATAGAAATATTTCCGACTGGATGTAAGGAGAAAAATTCACACTCTGARAGCCTGAGGGGATACCAGGTCCAGTAGGAAAACAGAGTGCTCAGAGAGGTTAGGCAGTGTCCATTCTTCAAAGTATTTTTAGATATGATTGTTTAGGCAACCTGGTGTGACCTGAATTGAGGAGAAAATAGAACTTGATGATCTCCTGAGAACCTTGAATAAAAGATTAAGAATGTATTCAAGATTCCTCATGCCCACAATAGTATGTGATACAGTTCCTCCTTTTGGACTCATAAAACTTACTAATGCATGTTAGTAAGTWCTCAGTCTTTTCATTCTGTCCTGTATCTCCTCTTTCTTGGCTGAGTTTTATATTCAGATCCCTTTTAGAAAATTACTCCTGACACTAAGAGTAACTTTTTTAGATTTATTTTTATTTCTCTTTTTCCTTTTTCTTTCTTTTTCCTTTTTTTTTTCTTTTTCCTTCAAAACAGTATAATACAGCAATCTGCTATAATATTACTTTAGTCATTTTAATCCTTTTCAGTCTTGAAATTAGCAGATCTCAGTATCCTGTTTCTCCTTTGAGTCTTCTCTTTGTTTTTCTCTCCTAAATAATGAAAAGTATGATTTCACCAATGTAAAATCAAACTGGTTACAGCAAAGATTGTGTCTGCATGTCTTTCTGSTGCTTATGATTTTTAGTATTCAATGATTCTAAACTCTTTGGGTTCCCAAAGTAATTATTTCTGCCACACTTCTAGGAATGGTTGGTTTTCAGATCTTTTTAAACGGTTCCTTTCAAGATAACAGTAGACRACAGTACTCTAGTTCCTTTTTTTTCTCCCCAAGAACACCCATAGATCAAAGGAGACAAGTCACATCAATCTTCAACTGGAAAGTATTTATTGTGTTTCTTATCCCTAACATTTATTAWATGTAAGAAAAAATACATGCAAAAAAGAAGTTTCAGTGTTGTTCAGAGTTGTACTTACTGAAAAGCCCAGGCAAGCCCAAGTTTTAGCAAGAAGTCCCATCTTTATTAGACCAAGCAGGACTTTCACTTCAAACAGTCAACACTGTTTTGTTGTTGATAGGTATARCAGCCAGACACTAAAACTGCTAGAGTCTGAATCCAGATCTTGAATCACCTTAAAAAGAAAATCCTGTTACCTCTGTTTTCCCACTTACCTGCAGATTCTGTAAGTTTTCAAATAGCTTATTTGCTCTATGTGTAATATACTACTTTAGCATAAATACTTAGGATACACCCAGCAGTGACCTTTTTATCACCTGAGTGAAGTCATGTTTGTTTCCTTGCACACCACCGCTACTGACTCACCTTTCCAGATTCCTAAACAAATTGTTCTTTTTGATTAGGACAGTCTTTTCTACTGCTTCTTTTTCAAAGTGGAAGGACTAAATTTTCACAGGAAGTTACTTCTGCCATTCTCGCAAATCAGATWGGAGCATTTAAATACTAATGTGTTTTAAATGCCAATTTAGTAATAGAACTCACTTATCAAAAGTGGACTGTCACCTTAGATATTTTCTCACGTGTCTAGTTAAAGCACTGTTATCTAGAAGATTAATCAATTTTAGGTGTTGTCAGAGAATTTAATCAGYAGCAAGTACAGTTCACAGCTGCTTTTTCTTCTTAAACAGATGAAAAGCTGTATATCTTTACTACATTGTTTAAAAAAACAAAACAAAACACCAAAACTTTGGAGTGCAGCAACTTTTATGTGTCTTCCGACATAAATTTGACAGGTCWGTTGTGATTTCTCCTTTTTATCTACACAGAGTGTAGCTTTGAGAAGACAGCTTAACTTCAAGCTGTTCCTGCAACTGTGTGCACTGTGTGTATGTGCATGACAGTCCTGGCCCCAGGACATTCACCTGAACAATGTCCCAGCAAGCTGGGGAAGTGACTTGTGTCTTCCGCATACCTTGTATTGTTGCTTGTCAGGCCAGAGGAGGCATCAGCCTGGAAAAGAGCCTGTGTGCTTGGTGCACCTTCTAAAGAAAAGTAGAGTCTTGTCCTCTGGTCACGGGGATTTTGRGTGCACATTCACAAACCAGGGCTGCAGGCAGGATCATGCAGGACAACTGTCCCACATTTAGGTACCAACATATGCTTTATTGCTTTCTGAGGAATAGCTTATTTTTAGTTTGATTTTTAAGTCTGATTTTGTTAATCCTCAATTGGAATAATGTATCATTTTATGATTTCACACATGGCCATTTTTGTGAAGTTGGCTCATTTCTTCTTGAATCTCACACCTTCTGAAAGGTATTTTAATTTGATGCAAACATTAATTGTTGGATTATTAAAAATATTTTGCTTTTTCTTCATGACAAAAAGGACTTTTTATTGTCATTCATAAGATGTACCAGTTGTGCTGTATGATATATTTTCAGTTTTGAGCTCCAGTGAAAAGTGAAGGAGGTTGGTTTCCATCCAGGTTCTCCACCTTCAGCTCTTTTCTCAGATTTTGGGGAGTTACTTGTGTAGATTCAACTCACCTAACTCAAGGTGTGTGTTGCASTTTAAGCGCTTTGGTTAGAGAACCAGTGGGAAGAAATGGGTGTTTTGAGAGATGATTCAGTTCAAACTACTCTTAAAGATAA